CTATCTATGTTGCCATATTAGCAAGAAATTATGTTTTTTAATTAAAAAATTATAAATTTTCAATTTCTATTTTTAATTATTTACACTTATTTAAGACTCACCCTGAATAATTTCTTACTAGTAAAAACTTGTTTCATTATTTAATATGTTTTTTTTGATCCAAAGACAGTTGCAGATTTCACAAATAATTTATTTCTAAAGCTCCCCCCTTTGTACAATTCACAATAATCTCGCTCTAACAAATAGCTCAAGTTCTGACACAATATTTTTCCAAATGTTTACACTGTACAGGGTGTCCCATTTTAGTTGAAATCATACGGTATCTCCGTTATTCGTGAAGATAGAAGAGTGCGGTTTGCACAAACCTGTGTCAATTTTTTGTCAAACGGAAGATGCTGTCAACAAAATTTTCATAGCCCTCTTCGTTTCTGAGCTACAGGGTCATTTCGAAAATTTTGCAATTTGGCACAGGCCCATATCTCCGTTATTATGGATAATATCGAGAAGGTGAAAACTGATACATGTAGAACTTTTTACGTAGAATACAGTGGCGTAGTCTGTTTTTTTACGAAAAAAAATATTTTTGATAATATGAACTTATATTAATAATATGTCTTTTCAAATGGAACACCCTGTATATTTATAAATCATCTGATCCGCTTTGCTATGAGCTTCTCAAAAATATATACCAATCTATATTTATTTTCTCTATTTACTGAAATATTTAAAATATATCATTTTCTTATTAGTAGGCTGTGATAAATAACAAAAAATCAAAAATGGTATTTACTAAAATAGTCATAAACATATTAAAATTTTATTTGGAATTGGATATGGGATTTTATATAATTGGATATTTTACTTTTGAACTGTTACCACTGAATCTTTGAATATATTTTTCTTTTTTCTATAACGGAATGGGTTTGCAAATATCTAAAAGTTTGCATTGTTAGCTTGTATTATTAAAGCATTTTCCAGGTGTTCGACATAGTATTAGTTGCCACGATATATTTCATATTTCAAAAATCCCCAAAGTCAGAAATCGAGAACGGAGAAATCCGGGAATCAGGGAGGCCATCATCTGGAAATAATAATTTAACAAAATTCTAATATTTTCGTTGTAAGTTAAGTTGTGAGGGGGAGACACATCTTGCTGAAAGTATATTTTACGTAAATTAACTAAAGGAATATTTAAAAATTCCGATACGATAGCTTCCACGATTTACAAATAGCGGTAGAGAGTTTTCCTAATATATAAAGAATTTATTAGTGGCTCTCAAAATAAAAGAATAGGCCGTTAGCAGTATACTTTTAATAATTCATTAGTTTCTTTTATTATCAATCATGGACTTATATCATAAATATTATGATCCTTTAATATATTTTTTTAAATATTGCAGTAAATAGTGAAAATAAATATAGAGTGATATATAGTTTTGAGAAGCTTATGGCAAGGCAGATCATATAATTTATAAATATACAGGGTGTTCCATTTAAGAAAACATAGCTTTAGTTCATATCTTAAAAAATATTATTTTCGTAGAATAACAGGATACGCCACTATATTCTACGTAAGAAGTTCTACAATAAACAGTTTTCACCGTCTCGATACCTTTAACAATAACAGAGATACAAGGAGTGTCCCAAATTGGAAAATGTCCAAAAAGACCCTGTAGGTTAGAAATGGAAAGGGCTATGAAAATTTTGTTTAAGGCATCTTCCGTTTGACAAAAAAGTGGCACAGATTTGTGCAACTATTTGTGCTTAGCCAAACCGCACAATAAAACGACTATATCTTCACGAATAACGGAGATACCGTATGATTTCAACCAAAATGGCACACCTTGTACATAAAACCAGTTATAAAATTAAACAAGTATTGCCGCAAAATATACTAGGAAAATCATAACAAATTCTCAATAATTCCAATCAAAGTTAAATGAATAAAGTAAATAAAAACTGTCAAAAAATGAAGTCTGATTAGAAACCTTTCTTTTTTTTTGTCTATGGCATTTACAAAAATTAATGAATTATTGTCATTAAGTTAAGTCACTTAGTTAAGTAACATGAAAATTCAGGAAAAACTAAAAATCTGAGATTTTAATAGTATATTAAACAACGAGTTTCGAAAACGACGTTCTGGACACGAGTTCGACAGTTTGTTGGCTCGAGCCGCAGGCAAGAACCACAAGTCGAACGAGTGTACAAAGAAGTTTTCGAACGATTTTTTTACGCTATTTTTTCTTCGACTACAAATTTGCAGCAGACTCACTCAGTTTTTGCCAGTTTTGTGAAATAATTTGCGATGTAATGATGACACTTTTCTAACGGCTGCATTGCGTTTGGCGTTTCAGCTAAACATTGGAGGTTAAAAATGTTAAAATTGGCACATGTCGTGTGCAAAATGACACATGTCTTAGCACACAACAGTTTGCAAAACGCCAATTTCAGATCGAGTTTTCCGTGTATCAAACTGCATTTTCTAGGCTAGTCGTAGAAAAAGCTGTGTTTTCGTACATGATAATATGATGCAAAGTCTCAGTTATTTTAATTTTAATTTTAAAACTACTAGAAATTTAAAAATGAGGCTGTGTATACTTAATAGTAGATGTTTTTATACTATACCGTCTAGCTAACTCCTACATGAACAGACATAAATAGTATTTTAAAAAGAACACTTATAAAAAATTATTTTTACTACAAACAAACAAATAGTCGATTTTATGGTCATAATTGAATCACCCTCTAGAAGGTTATAAATAATATTTTTTTAATTTTAAACCAAACTGTCATTCTTGCCTCCCTACCCTATACAGAGTAATAATATATGACTGAAACTAATTGCGGCACTATCTTTTGCGTGTGTTCCCATTGATTTATACCCTTTTCAATTTTGTCGTTTTGCTGGAATTCGAAATTTATGCAAATTGATCTGTTCGCGTTTGGTACACATTTCTATAAATCCAACGAATGAAATATCGCGGTTCGTATATTTTTCTTTCATCAAGATTGATTGGAAAATTGATATGGATTGGCGATAATTGGCGTCAGAAAGTGAGACGCTTTTTCCGCTTTAAAGAATTATCGGTTGGTACTGTTAGGCTTATTAAAGCCAGCCTCAGGTGCGATCTCACTTTGAAAGTAAGAATAACTGGATAATGACATACGTGCGGATAATATTTGGATCAGAATGAGATTAAGAGTAGTATATTAAATGTAGTATATTAAAGTGTTGAATATCGAAATACAAGAAAATTATGCATACCAATGACTATAATAAAAATAAAAAAATATCTATACATATGTGGCGGATTCGTCTCTCTAAAAAAATCCTATATGGGTAATTCGCAACTGCAAGAAAATCTACAAAATAAAATAGTTATTTTTTGTAAACACTTCTGCGTTAATCCCAAAACGGAAACTACTTGTCAGAAGTTAGGTTTACAGATATACAAATTTGCCTAATGAACAAAAAAATGCTTAACGTTTCGGAAAGTTTATCTATTTCCGTCGTCGGAAGCAAAAAAAAAATACAAAGAATAAAGAAAAAAAACTATTTAAAATATATAAAATTAACTATTTGAGAACACTTTAGTTTTTTAAAACAGATACGTCTACTAAAACCGTTGACGTTCTGTTAAAATGACATTATATCAATTAAACTTCAAAATTAACAATTACTACCTGATAACAATTACTTAATAAGGTAAAACCAAGAAGCTCCAAACTTTCTGTATTGTTATTTTTAATTTTTACGTATGTTATGTTTATTTATGTTATGTTCTTTAAAATCAAAGAAGCAATTGCCATACATTACTAACATCTACAGATGCATGATGTTATAATAAAAATACATTTATTTTTATTAGATTGTATTAAAAAAGCCTCTTTTATTTTTCTTTTAGAGGCTATCGCTCCTTTCATTATAATTTTGGCGTTGTTAAAATTTATTATGTGCCCTGTGTCCCATGAATGCTGACAAATCTTAGATTTGTGAAAATCTCCATTTCTTAAATAATCTTTATGTTCTTTAAATCGAACATTTAAGGGTCTAGATATTTCACCAATGTAAAATTTATCGCATCACATGGTGTTTGGTATATTACATTTTTTGTTTGTTGTTCTGTATTCATTGGTTTAGTATGTGAGAAAAAAATAAAAAAAGTACAAATAAAGTGTTTACAAAAAATAACTGTTTTATTTTGTAGGTTTTCTTGCCGTGGCGAAATACCCATACAGGATTTTTTTGGACAAATATAATAAAAATGTCTAACTACATTATGACTGAATTTTATTTAATGCTTTTAATGAAATAGTAAAATCTACTTGGAATCAATGAGTACTTATTTAAAACTTTCACTAGTTAATAGTATTAACATTTTTTAAAAGTTGCTATTAGGCTTGGATCAACTCAAATTAATAAAATTGCGTTTATGTCATCAATGAGGCCAAAATCGCTAAAATATCAAGAGACAACTTGTAATCTGCATAAAACTGCATACACTATTTTGCTAACAAGATAAAAAAAAATCAGTGGCATACATGCTTTTTTTAGAAAAATATTCCAGTCATAACCCATATGGGGTGACACTTTTGTTAGCATTACAACAGGTCGTTACATTTATAGTAACTTTTACTCCCAAAATTTCATTCAAACGCTAAAAGTACTTGGAAGAAAATTATAACAAATCGAAAAAATATTAAGACTAACATCCTGTAGCTACGAAACAAAGCAGAATCAGAATTATGTTGATATGAAAAATAAATCTTATTTTTACGTGACGAATCCCCCCACGAGTCACATGTTTTTTGAAACAACCTGTATATGAGAGTAGAGACAAATACTAATATTTCCTTAACATAAGATAAGCGAATAATATGTAGGTAGAATAGCAAATTTCAATGCAAAAGTCTTTAGGTTGGTACTAAATTAGTTCTGTTGTTATTTTAGGTGCATTACCTCAGTATCATTTTTATTATCTTAATTTTTATCTTTTCAGGTTCAGATTTGGATGAAGCCAGAGACAAAAAGAAAGGTGGTATGAAGAAAAAACTCAAGAGGTACTTACTGCCTCTGCTGATAGCCTACAAACTGAAGTTTTTCACTCTGATTCCTGTGATGATCGGAGGATTGGTGCTTCTTACTGGAGCAACGGGGTTAGCAGGATTCTTCTTTGCTCTATTTGCAGCAGTTATGGGACTAAAAAGTGGTAGTCATCATTAAAAGTGGACAGTTTTAATAAAACAAATTATGGTGATCCGATTAACAATGATGTAAAAAAGAGTTTTTATCTCTTTGTTACCGAGTATTAAAACTAGATTATAATATTAAATTGTATTTATAATTATTTATTTGATGATATTGTACATAATATTGCTATTTCATATTTATTTAAAATATTTATTTTCTATAAATAGTAGTTAAGCCTTAAATTAGTTTCCTTGGGATATTAGGTTCCGAAAACCCTGAATTGTGTTTTAATTTTGTTTAAAAATCTTGATTTATTCTATAAACAAACGTTTCGACAAACATTAGAGCTTTCATCAGTGTGATATATCTACAACAACATTGATGAGGGCTGTAATGTTGGCCAAAAATGTGTTTGGCCTAAACAAAATTCAGCGTTTTCGGAACCTAATATCCCAAGAACATTAATTTAAGAATATTTCAATACAAGGTTCAAGAACGTGAAATTTCCAAGAAATAAATAGTAGTTAATTAGATTGATGATTAATATCATTTTTATCATATTTTCTAAAAATTATTATGAAAATGAACTATATTTTATGAGTCGCACTGTAAGATATGAATATTCTGAAAATTATTATTTCATATTTTTGTAGAGTTTAGACGCGAAAATTCTGGTTCTTAAGAATTATTAAAATATGTGATTTATCAAACAACTGAATTTTTGTTTTATTTAATTTTTTTTAAAACTTAAATAAAACAAAAATTTAAATTTTTTAAAACTTAAATTTTTGTTTTTTTTAAGTTCAGAACAACAAACATATTATAGTTCGAACACAAAAAAAAATAATAACAAAATAGGAGGCGTTTCAAAAAAACATGGCCAAGCGGTTTTCTGAGAGATATAAATTTAAGCAAAAAAATCATTATTTTCTTGTAATTTTCAAAGTAAAATATCTCCGTTATAATATAAGAGAAAATATGTTTCATTTTTCGAGATCTACCAGCTTTGAAAATATTTGCATTTATTTAAGACTCGCCCTATACCGGGTGAATCTCAAAAGTGTCTCATCCCCATAACTTTTTTATTTTTTCAAATAAAAAAACGAGATTTGGTATTTTTTTCCTGTAGTTTTAATGCTAATGATTCACTCCACTTACACAAAATCTGTTAGACACAAACAAAATATGAATTTTTTTAATGCATATCTCACACGGTCTGTCAGTATAAGCGCGACTATTTCAATATTATGTTAGTACTTAAGGGTTAAAAAAATCGTATTTTAAATTTCAATCTTGAGGGTCACGGATGTGTTAAAAACACTAATTTTTAATCAAGGAGCCTAGGAAAAATTTATTTGATTATCTAATATTTTTCGTGTCTTACCTTGGCCGGTTAAAAAATACCCAAATATTTTTTATCATATCTTAAAAATATGGAAAAAGCATTTTTTTACGAATAATTTGGTCCCAAACACTTGGCATTTTGAGTCAAATTGTCGTTATGAACCGCATGTAACAATTTCAAATAAACCATATGCGAAAGAGTCAAAAGTTGACATATGATATTATGTAATTCTATTCAGAGTGTCATTTTGTATCGAATAAAGTAAAAAAATACCGAGGGTGTTATTCAAAAATCAAAAGTCGGTAGTTATTTCCGGTGAAACAGGGAATGCCTAAAAACAATTGAATATGTCAATCAATCCTAAAAATTCGAAAAAATAAAAATTTTATAGGGGTGAGTCACTTTTGAGACGCACACGGGATATCGATAATTATCCTAAAATTGCATTAACTACATCATAAGAAAACAAAGAAAACTCCAATTTTATATCTACTGACATATTCGCAAACCAAACCAAACTAACTGATATAGCAAATAGATAGTCTACAAGTTAAAAAAATCTAATAATACAGAATTAAAAAAAATAATACGAACAATGCGAAAATGCCACAGAGACACGAGCCAGTTATTTAAATTTTACGCTTGACATTTGTCGTTGTTTTTCAACTAACGTCATTGGTAACGGTCTAGTTGTTATACCGCTTCGAGTGTAAAAAAGGAACCGGGCGGCGTCTTTAGTTAATTCGTATGTTGTAGTACCGCTTACTACGGCTATTTGTTTTGGTTGCGGATTAACATTGCTACCATATTTAAATGAAACACACAAATGGCTTTAATAACATAATTGTATTTTGAACCTTGCTAAACAATCCCACAATTTAAATGCCTTTTTATCTTTACTTATTTGGGATTTGCGGATGTTGTGGTATTGATATCAAGTGATTCAATTGATATGCAGGAAATATTGAAAGAGGTTGAACAAGCAGCAGAAGATTCGGGCTTGAAAATGCATCTTTCAAATACTGAAGTTATGGTTCAGGATAATATTATAGAAATGAACCTAGTAATGTCTCTCAATTCTGTAGACCGAGGTCACATTATTTAGCTAGGCAAATAAAATGAGGAGCAGACTTACTGAATACATTTTATCCATTTTTTTGAGATTTTCATTGAAAAGTGGCATTGCAAACTACATACAGGGTGGCGCCTCTCATACGCCGCGGAGGCTCCAAGGAGAACGACAGTTTGTATTGAAATAAAATTTTGTGAGCATATGTAGGTTAATTGAGCATTTTAAAAATATAGAGAGTTCTACAGGGTGTCCCCAAAAAAAGTTACATATCAAAGTTGTGTTTTTTGTAATGGAACGCCCTATATATTAATTGATTTTCGGATTCTAGGAAAAAAATAAAGGTGAGTTTTATTAAAGAAGTATATACCTAAACTCTAAGGATTTTGACATATTTTACATTTTGTGAAAATGAAGAGTAAATTTTAAATTTCGATAACAGTTACCCAAATTTTAGTTGACCTCGTATAGCCTAATATGTAATTACAGTAACTATTGTATGTTATACCAAATTAAAATTTGACCCGAAAAGTTGTACAGGGTGAGACAAAATTAATATGAAACATTAGTCACTTTTAAAAGCAAGTTACTCCTTTATTTTAAATAGAACACCCACTATATTATTCCGGTGTTCAATGGAGAATTTATATATCTTCAAAATATTATTAAGGTTGCCTACCCCTCAAACCAAGATTTTCCTAGATATTTTCATTTATATGATTTGATCTGCGCAGATCTTTATTATTTGATAAAATATAGGTGGGTGTGATATGCATGATGTTACTTCAACGTAATTAGATGTAACTTTAACAACTAGTTATCATTTTGTGTCAATTAAAACAAAAAATTTCTCAGGAATTTGCCGAAAATACAAACTTATCCTACATCAGAAAGAATTGATATGATTCTATTAGTTGGTAAATGCAGTGTGTTTTTACCAATTAGTAGAATACTTAAATGCTTCTGATTTTATCTAGTCTGGATTTTTTTATAAAGATATGTTACAGACAGTGTTTACAAAACTCGACCAACTATTCTCGACAACATGAGAGTAATTACTGTAGCTGCTTTTCGAGGTAGAACCCCTCATAATTATGCCTTTTAAAATGAAAAGATCCTTGTGAAAAGACAATCATTTCATGCAGTTAACAGGAAAGGAAGCATTTTGAGGATTTGATTTTATCTAGCTAATTTTTGTTACATAATTAGAGGTTTATATCTAGTTTTAATTCTGTAATAATTAAAATATGTTTTAAACATGTATCTTTTTATTACCGTTGAGTATTTTACTCTACATTCTTTAATTTTTGTTAAATAATTAACAAAAGGTATATTACAGCCACCCCCAAGATTTTTTCAAATAATAAAGATTTACTGACGCAAAAACATAAAAATTAAAATATCTAGGAAAATCTTTGTTTAGGGGTAGGTAATCTTAATTATATTTTGAAGATATATACATTCTCCATTGAACACCTGAATAATATACTGGGCGTTCCATTTAAAATAAGCAACTTGCTTTTAAAAGTGACTAATATTTCATATTAATTTCGTTTCACCCTGTATAATTTTTCGGGTCAAATTTCAATTTGGTTTAACATACAATGGCTACTGTAATTAAATATCAGGCTAGACAAGGTCAACTAAAATTTAGGTAGCTGTTATCGAAATTTAAAATTTACTCTTCATTTTCACAAAATGTGAAATATGTCAAAATCCTTATATTTTAGGTATATGCTTCTTTAATAAAACTCGCCTTTATTTTTCTCCTAGAATCCGAAACTCAATTAATATATAGGGTGTTCCATTACAAAAAACACAACTTTGATATGTAACTTTTTTGGGGACACCCTGTAGAACTTTCTGTATTTTTAAAAAATGCTCTGAATTAACCTACATATGCTCACAAAATTTCATTTCAATACAAACTGTCGTTCTCCTTAGAGCTTCCGCGGAGTATGAGAGGCGCCACCCTGTACACAGAGTTACGATATTATGTCCGAAAAGATTTTCTAAATTCATTTTATCCCATTCTAACTAAATGTAAAAATACCTTAGACTTTTTCTGTGCTGTATGTCCATTGGCGGTGGACAAACAGAAGTGTCTTTTTTGTGCTGTGGACATACTGCTGTTTCTTTGTACTACAACTTCTCTATTTTTTGAATAATACTATTTAAAATAATGAATGGAAATACGACTGGAGACTATGTATTAGTTGGGGTATGGACCGCGATAGCAGAAAAATAAAGAAAAATTTCACGTCTGAAACACAAATGAAAAATAAAAAACATCTATGCTCACTAGCTCTCTATAAATTAGTAAAAAATCATTTAAATCAATGCATGAACGATTCGAGGTGTAACGCGAACGTAGTCGCGGGAAAAATCTAGTAATTTATTAAATTATTTTATTTAACTGATTAATTTTCATTGAAAAGGAATTTTTGTAATTCGCCACTATATTAGTTAAAAACTAAGAAACTCATATCAAATTTAAGTTTTGCGATTTTGACTTATACTTTTTACAAAATCTGAACACATTTTAAAAGAAAAAAGGCTTTTGATAATATTTGTGTAGATTAACTACAAGTTGTATAACATAAATTACTACGACCGGTCTACCTAGTGGTCTGCAGCATCGCCTTGTGGTGCATACGTGAGCCTGTTAATCTGTGACGTGACGCACAACAGCCAAGTGTGGCTAAGCCAAAAACAGAAGCGTGGCTAAGAATTTAGTAATTTAAAAAAAATGTCTTTTAGATACAGTAGTAGGTATTAAAAAGTTTTGTGTTTAAATGGGGTTTCCCTTTAACAGTTAAAAAATTATATCGTAAAGTGCAACTTTCCGTAAGAATTCTTTATCTGTCATCGATCATGATCTGTCATCATGTTAACCTGATGTTTTGTATGTTATTTTGTTTTTTTGCTTGTTTGTTTTACGGATAGGTGCAATCGCATAATTATTATTGATAATGTTTTATTTAATGTTAACATTACTACTTTTTCCGTGAATCTTTAAATCTGTTGTTTTTGTTAAGTTCGTTATTTAAACATATGCATGTAATACACTCATATTAACACTAATCATATTTTTACGTTTTTATTCATCATTTTCAATGCCCCCCGGTTGCATCTTTGTAAAGGACTGTGAATTTTTTAAGTATACTAGTTTTCCGGTAAGTTTCTTGCAAAAAGCGTAGCAGTAGTTCTTTTTATGTCAACATTCAAAAAATAGACAAAATGCAT